GTTTTTTCCACATGCTGAGGGAAAAGTCTTTAGACTATTGATGTCTACCTTCCGCCTTTCAACCATCTTCTTAAGTTCTTCCCTAAACTTGGGTACCAAGGCTACTGCTTCTTTCCAAGATAGGGTGATCTCGGTTTCCTCGAGTAATTTCTTTACTACTTCATCTATCGAGATCCCTTCCTCGACTTCGGATCTCAAGACCACCCTTCTCTTCTTCCCGGCAGCTTCCTTTCCTTTCCCTTCCTTCACTAGGTCCTTGGTCCTATCTATCAGCTCGTTTAGCTCTCTTTGAGACTTCTCTCGCTTTTTCTCTTCGACCTCTTTCTGACTTATATGGGATACATTCAGACTTTGACTTCCGGGATTGTCGTCTCGAGCCACTATCTCCGGAGGTAGCATACCATCAAAGGTAATAACATTAACTCTAACCTTCTTCTTTTTATCCTTATTGGCCCTATCCTGTTCTAGGACAACTGCTCACATCCCTCCTTTGAATCAGAAATCTATCTTGTTCCAATTGGCATCACAGACGTGCCCATTGGCATTCTTCTTGACAATCCCTTCTTCGAGTTCCTTCTCTAGTAAAGGGCATCGAGTTATAGTATGGCCTTCCTTGTCACAATAATAACATCGGAATGGACCCTCTCTCCTTTGCCAATCTCGGCTCTTATTATCTTTCTTCCAATCCCGGCCGCGCTTCTTCTTTTGTCTCTCTTTTCTCCTTTGCCTAGCGTGATCATCACTACTCTCACCCTTTCTTTCACTCTCCTCTTTTTTGCTTCTCCTTCTTTCTTTCTACCTTGCCTTCTTCGGCTCCAACAAGTGTTTGAGTTGCTGGGGCAGGAATGGTTAACTTTTTTTCGAAGCTACCAAGCTTAACGAGAAGACCAAGGATCTCTTCGGCCTTCAAGTTTCTTCCCTTAGCTGCCTCAAGATTTCCCTCTCTTGCACTAATGATTGCTTTCATCTGTTCCAGAGACCACTTCCGGTTTGAAACCGAAGGTAGTTCACGGACCATCTCAACCACTTCTTCCCACTTCAGAGGATAATCAGCAGCGCGACTTAGCACACTTTTTATTTCATCCTCTGCGAAATTAGTTAGCAGGACATGACACTTCTGGGCCTCATCCAGGAAGGGTACTCTCCGCGCAACCCGCTCAAAATCCTCTAGGAATTGATCAAGGGTTGCATATTTTGAATGTCGCACTTCCAACAAATTTTGCATGGTCGTTGGAACGCCATACTTTGCATATTCTTCTAGCATCTTTTGTCTAACCTCGACCCATGTTGTGAGTCTTTGTATCGTTTTTGTCACCGACACTTTATCTTAGGCTCAACATAGGCCAGCAGAGCTTTTAACTTCTGTTTGTCTGACCAACCGTGGCTCATACCGAAGACATTATAGTGTTCCAGAAACTCCCTAACCTTGGTTCCATCAAAGCAGGGTATGTTCTCTGGAGGTATCTTAGCTCTTGGAAGGTCTAGACGAACATTCGTAGTGTCCATCCCGGTCTTCATGGCCTCTATCCTCTTCAATATTTCTTGTAAAACAGTGGTAGTGATCACTTCTCCGTCACCTGCGGAGGAACTAGCAAGGTTCTGCCTTGCGTCTGGTCCCCTGACCATTTTGTCTGATTTACTGGTTAAACTCCTATTTCTTCCTGAACCTTTTCTCTCTTATGATTGCGTTTAGAACTGGTTCCTAGTTTCTGCCGTCGGTAAAACTTTCCGGCAAAACTGGTTCGGGAAACCCGTCAAACACAATCGGAGCTAGGTTACTCACCACTCTTGCTCCTTTTCTTTCCAACTCTCTTCTTTCTTGACCAATTACACTACTAATCCAATTACGAAGAGATTCACGATCTGTCCCCTTTTCCCTTAGTGGAGGGACATAGGGCCGAATATCATACTCACCAGTGTCGAGGAACTTCACTACAAGGACATACGCCTTCCCAGGGGCATGCTTCTCCTCCAGGGATATGCAACGCTCTATCTTGTAGGGAAAGGCTCCTCCACTGGTAAATAGAACCAATGCATCTAGTGCTGCCGTGACTGCCGGACAGTAACCAGACATTGCCTAGTCCCTAGCGACCCCCATGAACCTTCTTTGTCTCCGATTCGTCTAATCCTATCCCGTGCCTAAATCGCCAATGTTGTCACTGCTCCACTTCCTATCTCTTAAAGCGGCATTAAGGATAGGCTCCTAGTCTTCACCATTGACGAAGCTATCTGGAATAGGAGGACTTGGAAAACCCTCGTACTCAGTAGGCTCAACACTCCAGGTAACTCTCTTACCTTCCTTCTCGAGTTCGTCTCTGTATTTACAGACGTGACTAAGCTCACTCGTGACACCCAGTACACCGCCGCCAAATCTTCCTAGTCATTGGAGAGTATATACATACGTCATATTCATTGGTCTCTAGGAAGCGAGTTACTAACACATACACTTTCTCCTCTGCCTCACGTATGGCTAAGACAGTGTAACTCTCAATCTCATAAGGAAATGCTCCTCCTACCGTGAGGGGCTTTAAATCCCTGAGTAATCGCGTGATGACCGAACTATGCTTGGTCGCATGACTAAATCATTCTCTCTTGCCTTACCAACCACGGCAATAGCTTCTAGAAGAGGCGCCCAGTCTCTCCTGTCAGTGAAGCTATCCGTAGTCAGGAAACTAGGGAGTCTTTCAAATTGCCTGACTCGTTTTCCCCAAGTCACTTTCTCATCCAAGCTTCGAAGTAGCTCCCTTATCCTCGAGAGGTGAATGTACACTCTCCTCAGGCACTCTAAATAGCCTTCTTCCTCTTTTATTCCTTCCTGAGCATAAATCCTCACGTCAAGCTCGTCAGTCTTGAGAAATCTGACCACTGGAACATAGAATACTAAACGCTCTTACGGACGTCGTGCCTCAATATCTCGAACGAGCTATCAATCTTAGTTACTTTATCTAACCATCCTCTACCAATGGTCACAGTCGCAATTGACGTAGAGTTTTCACACTCCAATATCATTGCCTTGGGCTGCTCCTAGCGCCTCTAGCCAGACTGTCCGCAGGATGCTGTCTAGATAGAATGGTCTCATCTCTCGCATGCAGCATCACTCTTCTGCCATCCGAACTTTTGCAATCCAGCAAATGCCTAATCTTAGTCTGATCCGTAATTGCTCTAAAAGCAGCCGCCCGCATAAGTTCAAGGTAGTGCTCTACCATGCCAATCTCATCGCGCCCACCAAGCCTAGTGTCGCATCCTCTCACGGCCTCGATGACAGTCGCTCGTTGCTCATCTAGATAGACCTCGAAGCAGAAGCTCTCTCCGTCATCAGGAGTGTAGACATCTCTTGGCATGGCTCACCACACTCGGTCCCTAAGTACCGCGTTCAGGATAGGTCCCCAGTCCTTCCCGTCGCAGAAGCTAGCGGGCACAGGCGGACTTGGGAATCTCTCAAACTCTCTAGGCAGAACACTCCAAGTCACTTTCTTCCCTCGTTGTCTCAACAACAGCCTTTCATCTAGAACATACTCAACAACAGCTATCCAACATGCCTCGTAATCGATCCCTCTCCTTGTCTCAGCAAATACATATGGCCTCACATCATAGTCATCCGTTTCAAGAAACCGAGCTACAAGGACGTACAAGATCACTGAGTCGTGTTCACAAGTCACACACCTCTCAATGACATACGGGAAGGCACCCCCAGCTGTTCTAGTCAGAGCCTCTATCGCTTTCGTTACTGCTGACATTGATTACTTACCAGGTTTGCCTTCTCAGCGCTTCATTGATGATTGGCTGCCAGTTCCTACCATCACAGAATCCTTTAGGTACTGGCGGGGTAGGAATCTTCTCATAAATCCTAGGCAGTAAGCTCCAACTCGCCTCTATCCCTTGTTGTCTCAACTTATCCCTCTCGGCTAAACCGCACTCCACTATGACATCCCAATTGGTAAAGAAACTCGGATCCCGATCAACTCCCTCTAGGATGTAGGGTCGAATATCATAGTGATCAGTGTCAAGGAATCTAGAGACAAGCACATGCACAGTCATTGTACTTTTCACACACGTAATGCATTTGACAAACATATAAGGGAAGACACCACCGCAGGTGACACGAGTTAGGGCTTCTAAAACATTATACTCTTCAGTCATCATCTGGTTTCTGACTTATGGACTTCTCAAGCGAAGGGTCCAAAAACAAATTCCAAACCCTTGCTTGTAGGTCTGAATCACTTCAGATAGACCTCTGCAAGAGGCCCCTCCTCTCGGGGCTCCTCTAGACGAAAGTCTTTCTGACCTGAGCCAGACCTTGTACTAGATTGCTGCCTAGTCACATAATATTGTGACCAAGATCCGCTCCCAGGAACTCAAGATTTTTTAGTCCCCGGCAACGGTGCCATTTTTGTCGCGCCCCCACTGCTCCAAGGGTCCGGTGAGATGTCCTTCCCCGGGACTGAGCTCAGTAGGTTGGAGGACTGGCAGGCTGTAACACAGGGATTTTGATAGGTATAAAAAATAGAGATGCGTTCAGAGGCGGTCACACTTTGTCAAACAGCCGAGTAGTCAGGGTTATCCCTCCTGCCAACGACGACACGGCTTAGAGTGAGACGTTCGGGTTTATCAACTGCACCTGACGTCGTATAAAGGATATACTCAAGGTCAGCAGAGTCCCTATCATTCATGAGTCCTTTAAGCTACCTTGAGTGTAACCTGCATAAAATAAGGATGAAAAACAACAAACATGCATCATAGAGCAATTGACACTGACAAAATGAAAAGACTAGAAACCGGACTCTACAAGAGTATGACCAGAGATACGAGACTGAAGAGTAGTACACTAAGTATGCAGGGAGCAGCCATTGGAGGGCTGCAGTCACTAATAAATAATAATGTAGTAATACATCAATAGTGATTGAAAAGAGAGAACCTCAATCAATGATGATAAGCGGAACCCCCTCGTGAGTGAGTGGTGCCGTCTGGGACTCCGTGTCTGGCGCCTCGTCATTGAGAATCCGTGTGACTATAAACTCTCGAACCACATAGCTAATGTCGAGAGGCGCTGCTGGATCAATCTTGCAGATATAGGCCATGCATTTGGCCATCTCCTCGTTTGCGACGCTCCCGAGGTAAAGCTCCTCCGCAAGAATGATGTCGCCTGAAGCTCCAATCAATATCTCATTATGTCCTCTCCCGCCAGAGTAGATGTAGGAAACCTCGAGGAAGCGATCTTCGTAAAGAGGCTTTCGATAAGCCTGCATAGCAAAATCCGTCTCGACCAAATGACTATAGCCATCTCCGAGGTATGGGACCGGACCCTCCCCTCTTGGGGGACCGATAACTGTCTCAGATCTAGGGTCGTCTGACATATAAGAGTCAATCACCCTCAAGAAGATACCGTGCAAGAATATGTGCGATCCTCCTCAATGTCGCCCTCCGACGTCTCTGCTCGCTGGTCTCCAGCGCTCCTATCGCTGTCCAGAAACCCAATCTCTGTGAGTGTCCCAGTCGAAATAATCGCCAAGATCAATGTCACTCAGAGCAGGGCTCCAAGTCCGACTCATCCGTCTCTGATCTCTGGACGCATGTAGTGATGGGGACCCCAGATCTGGCTATCCCTCTCCTAATCCGGTCGTCCCTCCGACTCTTGTCCTTCCTGCGAGACTCACTGAGGGGCTTGGAGCTGCATCCGTCAAAATCGTAAAGCACACCCCCAGGTGTTGAAGGTACGCGAGGGAACACCACGTGTAGCCAGTTGTCCCTCCAATAGTTCTCCTTGCGAAATATGTAATCCGCAATCCTGTCGTATGTGGTGCCCTTCACTCCCGTCTCTGCCCCCTTCACCGAGTAGGTGATCACAAGCGTGTGTCTCGAGGTCGAGGACTCATTCGCCCTGATAGTGAAACTCTGATGTCCCGCATGTGTGTAGAAGAAACTCTCAATCAATCTACCCCACTTAGGGGTAGTATCACGACGTCGGGCCAGCTTGGATGGAATGCACGCTCTCACTAGTGCAGATACTCCCTCCAAGACCCGGCCGGATGGCAACTCAATGTGGAGGCCTGTCTGAATGGCCTGACTGAACTGCAACTCAATATAGGGCCCACCTGAATGGGCCCGGCTGAAAACTTCAACAATCTCGAAAAGTGGGCCCGCCTGAAAGGGGCCCTGGTGAAAACAAAAAAAAAACTCGAAAAGTGGGCCCGCTTGAAGGGGCCCGGCTGGACAGCAACAATCTCGAAAAGTGGGCCCGCCTGAAGGGGCCCGACTGAACAGCAACAATCTCGAAAAGTGGGCCCGCCTGAAGGGTCCCGGCTGAACAGCAACAATCTCAAGTAGGCCTGCCTGAAGGGCCCGACTGAACAGCAACTAGCTCATGTAGGCCCGCCTGAAGGGCTCGGCTGAACAGCAACTGATCAATGAAACATCTCATGCACAGGGACCAGTCGTAAGTGCTGAATGTACTGGGGCTAGACTGAACCAGGTCATCCGTGCAGGGACTGAACTGCCAATGCCCCCCGTGCGAGGGAAAATATCATGTGCATGATGTGTTGCTGATCAGCAAGGGAATAAAAGGGAATAAATCGGCGGGATCGTGACGGCAAATCATCCCAGCTAGCAATCCTATTGCTCGGGKGTACGTGGGCTCGCACTCAAACAACCATAACCAGCCTGGGCACACACATCCAGCGCAGGTGCACATGGGCACGCACTCAATCCAGCCTGGGCGCACACGGGCGCACGCTCTAACAACAATGTCGAGCTTGGGAGCGCATGGGCGCTCACTCTAACTGCTATGCCGAGCTAGGGCGCGTACGTGCGCGCACTCTAACTGCAATATCAAGCTTGGGCGCGCATGGGCGCGCACTCCAACAACAATATCAAGCTTGGGCGCGCATGGGCGCGCACTCTCA